GGGTGTGGCGGGGGCGTAGTGCTGACGTGGATATCGATATACTGGTTCGCCCGCGCGGGCCCGGCCAACTCTGTAAGGATATACTACGAAGTCGAGAAGGCGGGCGACCGCGCGCTGCCCCGCATCCCTCATGTCCCCATGGGCGTGTCCTACTTCCCCGCAGAGGCCGTCATCGTGCCCAAATCGTACGTCCCGCACTTGCTTCTCACTTTACCTCGCACTTTATGCTTATGCGTGTTTTGATCTGGTAGGTGGATGCGCGCGCTGGTGGGGAACGTGGTGTTCGAGGCGGACCACGAGAGCGGGGGCCACTTCGCTGCGTACGAGCGCCCGGAAGAACTGGTGGGCGACCTCAGGAAGATGTTTGGGCGCGGAGGGCCAGCGTTCGGGGTTGTTCCTGGCTTGACGGGATATGCGTCGTGATTTATGAGGGTATTGCGGTGTATCCTTGCCAATACGATGGTACGTCGCATCCGGGGTCACCCTACTCGGAGAAATGCTTTCGCAAGCACCTTTATCCTTATTCATGGGGAGGCGCAATTCCGGGCGGCGAGTTGTTTGCATCTGTTTGGACTCTGCAAGAAAGTGGTCGCAAATCCCCCGCCTTCATAGAGCCTTCCGCATGTCGAAATCACGCATATAAAATGTACCAGCAGGGATGTCATGATACAGAAGATGCAACGTTAGTTCTGAATTTCCGATTTTCCCAATATCAAGTTCATTAGATAGAGGTAACGAGACCACAAGTACATTTAACAAAAATGTACAACCAACGTTGCATCCGCTCGTTGATATTGATTAACTTTTATGAATCAAGTGACGCGTGAATGTGAACGTAGCACGCTGTAGGTTTTCTGGCAGTAAAGAGCAATTAACGACGCGTCCGAACGCGTCGCGGACGTGACAAGCTGTGACACCATCGCAAAAAGTGTCACACCAAATACTGTACCGATACGACCTTAGGCAACGTCCCGTGTCCCGAGAGGTCCGTCGCCGTTGCCTATTTTGAGATTTGTCCCGTGTCCCGGACACCTCGTTGCTTGGGGCCCCGGAGCCTAAATCCGCGCTAAATGGGGAAAAATGAACAAATTTATTCGCACGTGCTTTGGAAACCCTCTTGAAGCTTCTTCTGAGTCTTCTCTCAGCGATTTGAGCCTCAGATCTATCTGAGGAGTGTATCAACATTGCATTACCCTCACCTTAGTACGCGCAACTGCAGGTTGCGTTGCATGTGTCCCTTGTCCCCACGGAGACGTTGCTTGACCTGCCACATTCCCACGGTGAATTACATAAGCCGTCGCGTTGCCTAAGGTCGTATCGGTACAGTATTCCGGTCACAGTCCGGGCTCTCCTGCCGCAGCAGAAGCAGGACCCTTCCCCTGTGTTAGAACTGTAAACTCACCATAGTACATGAGATATCTATTCAGCCTTTTACAGCTGTGATCCAGTACTTGCTTTGTCCATTAATTACACAGACTTCCTGGAAATCAAGCTCATCTGTATCAAGGATAGGGAATGCACCCACTGGTGTGCACATAGATACGTTCCAAATGTTTCTGAAGACAATGCATAACTTCCCTAAGCACTCTTTTGCCGACCTCGGTCAATTGACCATCATTTCATCCCGATGGTGGACAGCTCAGGAATAAGAAGAGACAACCATGTTTATATCTACTGGATGGCATAATACCTTTCTTGCTGTTTAAAATAGTGATATACATTGCTCATGCATGCATAAGGTGAGAACGGAGCAGAGCAATGCACAAGAATACGAGGGGATACTTGCGACCACCTTTCAGCCACAATCTGCTGACAAATCAACTCGCACCGGAACCGGGCGTTGCGCCTCCCCATTATTCATCTCGTGAGATGTTCTGGCCGGGGTAAGTCAAGACGAGAACAGTGGCAGGTATCCATTAATAACGTCTGAGCACTATCATATCCAACAGAGTACATTTACTTCCGATCGTACAATTTCGTCTGATTCATTAATTTCCAAATATACCCCTTCCTTAGACCACGGTTGTAGCGGGGGCAGTCGGGTCGGTCGTAGCAGGCCCACCGGTGATACCGGCGCCAGCGCTACCAGGAGCGGTAGGTGCAGCAGGCGCGGGCGCGGTACCGCTCGCCTTCTGCTGGTCGGCGATACGGCGAGCCTCTTCGTGGATGTCGAGCACCTGCTTGCTCGTGGTTGTGTAGAACTGGCGGACCTTCTGGCCCCACGGCGACGCGAGCGCCTTCGAGTAGTACTATTCACCAAACGTCAGCGCCGAGGAGTGTGGCACGAACTAGGGTACGCACCTCGGTCGCGCTCTTCGTGATGCCCTTCTGCTCGTCGACGGCCTTGGCCTGCTGCGTGGCGGCGCTGACGGCGCTCTGCACCTTCGCGGACACGGTCTGGTTCTCGCCGAGGGCCTTCGAGCCGATGGTCTTGTCGAGCGAGTTGAAGTAGGCGAGGAAGCGCTGCGAGATGCCCTTCTCGGTGTCCATCTTGATCGCGCGCTCGAGGATGCTGTCGGAGAGCGTGTAGCCCTTTGCGAGGTATTCGGCGACGACTGGGAAGGCGGTGTTAGAAGGGAAGTGGGAGCGAGAGGGGGGACTTACTGCCGGCGCGGGGCTTGTGCTCCTGCTCGATGTGGTCGCCCGCGGCGGGCTCCTCGTGCTCTTCGTCGTGGTGGGTGGTGTCGGACGTGACTGTTAGTTGAGCGCCGTCCAGAGTGCCGCCGTTGAGCATCAGGGCGGTCTTGGCGGCGGAGGGCTTTTCAAAGTGGACGACCGCAGTCTTGGGCTCGGTGTTGTGGAGGTCGATCGCGACGATCCTGGCGCACAACGCGTATGTTAGTACGAGCATGCGAGTTACATGCCTTACTTCAGCTTACTTTCCACAAAATCTGCGAAACGAGAGCATCATGAATGTCAATATCGCAGAAAGCAGCACTAAAGGACATACGTGAAGAAATCACGGAGGTGGTCCTCCGTCGTCGTGGGGGCAAGGTTGGAAACCTGCGTGGACGTCGTTCAGCACAGCGACGAAGAGGATACATGCGAACACGTACGTTTACAGCGTGGGTGGTCATTGTGATGGAGATTGGATGGCGTTGGACGGGACGGGCTCGTCTTGTAGTGGTCGCCGCAGTGTGACGTACTATCTAGAGCTCCTGATCTGATGTCATATTACATAATCCAGCACAGCCCTGTTTATCAGGGCTTCTGCCGCAGCCCCTCCAGCGGCTTCACTAGGCTTCATGTCGTTCCGCCTGGCCACGGACTCGAACCTACACGGGACCCGCTCTGGTCCTTGGACGCATTCATTGAAGGATCGCCACAAATCTCAGCCGCACGTATACGATCATCCACTTCCCTTGCGTATCTCGACAGTCCACAGTGCATATATCCTGCACCTCGTTGATGATCTCGGCAGCCTCCTCGTCTGACATATCATCTGCAGGGCCAGTCCGGCTGAGAGTGGCGAACAGGAAGGGGTAGGAACTCACGTAGAAAAGATTTGCGAGCGAAGAGGTGCAGCCAGTCTGCGAGAGTCGACGGGAGCGGCGTCAGGCGGGGGTTCAGAGAGATGTGAGTCACTCTGAAGCCATTGGATTCCAGCAGCTAAGCAATCCCGTTACTACGCGCATCCATGGCGCCTAAACTCGTCTTGGGACGTACGGACTGATAATCCTCCAAGGAGGGGAAGAACCACGGATCCAACTTGTCGGCGGCATATCCGCATTTGCTCAGTACACCATGCAGAGCGGACCTGACACCTGCGATCCGCGTACTCATCGTTACACCGTTCGTTGCCGAAGAAGTCTGAATCGGTTATACAGTGATACACCTACCGACGCAGTTCCCGAACCCGCCGAATTCGCCCACGAACCTCCCGCCGTCCCTCAGCACGCTCTTGGCGCTCTTGATCACGCCGACGGGGGACTGCTTGCACCAATGCAGCGCGGCGTTTGTGAATACCGCGTCAAACTTCAATGCCGGGGGCAACGCGTCGGACAAGGAGGATAGAGTTGGCAGGGCCTGCACGTCGGCTACGTACGCGTGCTGCAGGCCGTTCTTCCGGGCTTGGTCGATCTCCAGGAAGCGTCAGGTGCCTGAGAGACTCGCAGGCATCTGTACGTGCGACCCACCATGCTCTCGCTCGAGTCAACCCCGACAACAAGGCCCCCTTCCTGCCCGCGCACGACCCGGTCGATCTCGAGCGTCACCTCGCCGCTCCCGCAGCCAAAGTCGATGATCGTCTCGCCCGGCTTCGCGTCGAGCAGAGAGAGGACGGGCGCGGTGAACGCGGAGGAGTAGACGAAGGATGCGGTTTGGTTGTATGCGGTGGCGGACCAGCTGTCACGGTCGGAGGTCGACATGGTGTTTCGGGATGGTAGGGTGTTTGATTTCAAGTTCAGTGGACATCGCGCCTGTTATATATGTTTGGTGCTAGGTGATAGCAAGTAGAGCTCTGCAGAGTGCAGGTCAGGTATTACCTCGTCGGCCGAAGGTGGTTACACTGGAAGGAGCCTTCGGCCGACGTGGTGATACCAAGATCCGTCCATTTTCGCAGCCAACGAGAAGATAGTTCCTGTAGTTTGGTGAGTATGCGTCTGACATCCCAAGCTATCGAGTGCGAGGCGATATGCTCTTCATAGAGCTGAACTGAAGTACAACGGAAGGACCATCTCTGTGAGACGTGAGGGAAGTCATGTTTTGACATTGTGCGGAAAACCTGCCTTCGTGGGAAGGATGACTGCCTCATAAGGCAAGCGTAGTAATGGGGCTAGCGCCGCCAGCGCAGGGCTTTTTGAAGCATTACACTGGCTGTTTCGATGATGAGAGTATAATGGACCTTGCGTTGAGGCAAGGCTAGCATTATTGTGCAAGGCTTAGTGCAACGACACCTCGAAGGAGGAGGTCCAGTTGTCTGGTTGCCGATGCTGCTGGCGGTATGTTGGAGGCCTTCAATGCACCGTTTGCTCATGTCGAACGATTCTGATGTCGCTTTCATAGAGACAATTGTAATATAAGCGTCAGTGATTTATTACACCCTCTGGCCCACCTCACCTTCTTCGAGCTCCAAGTTTCTCTGGTCCACTCGGTGCGCTACGCCTCAGGTCAGTCGTTTCGCCAGCTTGTATCGACCGCACTTCTGTTGCTTACCTGTGGACAATTTTTGGATAGTAAAAAGCCGCTAGACAACAGTGAGGAACCTACATCTTGGGCAGAAAGCCACGGAACCCAGACGTCATGTATCAGGGTCGAATGAATATATGCCGCGACACAGCGTCACCAGGACATTTCTGGTATAAACCCCAATTGTTCTGGAGCCGAATTAACCATAAAAATCCTTCCATTGCGACATAACGAACATCGTAGAATATCTCGGCCGATCCGACGCGCTCGCCACCCGCCCCGACCGGACCAACTCGCCTCGCCTCAAAGACTCTGCCTATCGGTCCCTATCATTTGTGGGTCCACGTATCGCACAATATAATTGTTAACAAAGAAACAGCCAAAAGAGGATGTGTTCGGAGCCGCATGCCCTGCTCGCTTACGCTTGGGTCGAGCGAGGAATTGCCTTTTCGGGAACTTGGTGGCTTCGCGCCATCATTGTGGCAGCCCTAGTATTCCTGGACACTCGCTGTCTTGAGAGCCTTGTGAGCAATATTTAGTGGCCTTTTTGGACGTTGTAGGCTTAGTGCTGGTCGTATATGTCAGGCCACTGTTGCTGCTGTCAAGGAGGGTGAAAAAAAAACAAGGTAGTACGGAGGCAAAGCCACGCCTAGGGCAGTGGCGAGACACTCGATCATTGTGGCCAGCGTGTAGACTGGCATCAGATTACAGATCTTCTTCTGGAAGTTAGGCCACAGGGTTCGGCCGGACCATTATGCTCAGCCTATATAAGACCGGCCAGACGACGACAGTTCCCCAGATACTTTTCGCATCTACCACCGCACGCTCGCATCGTCGAACTCAAGAATCGCTATCAACACCAACACCAACACCAACACCGACACCGACACCGACATCGACATCATGTTCAACGTCAAGCTCAACATCATTAAGAAGATCAAGTCGCTGGCCTCCCCCAAGGAGACCAAGCGCGCCGCCACCGTCGCCGAGGCGGTTCCTGCCCCCAAGAGGCAGTCGAAATTCAAGCGCTCCTTCATGAAGAACGCCAAACTCGTGGTCGACTCTGCGACCGCTTTCGCCGCTCCCGGATTCGCCCCCGTCCCCGCTCCCTTCCCGGTCCCGACCATCGTCATCGTCGTTCCCGCCCCCATTCTGCCTCTTCCTTCCTCGGCTGTCGACACGGTCAAGGCTCCCTCCATCTCTTCCACCACTTCTTCGTCGGTCCCCATCACACCTGCCAAGATCTCCGGTCCCAAGACGCGCCCCCCCATCCCCGCCACATTCGCGTCCACCATCCCCTTCCCCCGCGCCACTTCCGCCGCCGAGGAAGCCACATCCAACAACACGCTAGTCGACGCGAAGAAGGAGGCGGACGCGTACCTGGCGCGCGCCGAGTGTGCTGAGGCCGAGCTGGCGCGCGTCAAGGCCGACTTGGAGCGCGTCCTGAGCCAGGCCATCGAGCAGGCGGATTCGGACAAGGAGCGCCGCGGCGTCCAGAAGAAGGGCCGCGCTCTCGAGCGCAAGAAGAGGGCCTTGGTGAATGAAAAGGCACGTCTTAACAAGGAGAAGACACTCGTCGCGACGGAGAAGAAGGTCGTCGACAAGGCAAAGAAGGCACTCGTCGAGCAGAAGGAAGCCACCGAGCGCGCTATCGCTCTCTTGGTCAGGGAGAAGGCGGTGGTATACAAGGCGAGGAAGACCTTGATCGAGGAGAGGGCTTCGACCGAGAGAGCACGCGCGCTCTTGGCTAGGGAGCAGGCTGTTATATATAAGGCGAGGAAGGCCTTGGTCGAGGAGAAGGAGCGCTGCGAGCATGAGAAGGGGCTCCTGGCGAAGGAACGCGCTCTCGTGGAGAAGGAGAAGAAGGCATTGGTGCAGAAGCGGGAGGCTTTTGACTCCCACGTCGACGAATTTAACTCGCACGTCGCCGAGTTCGAGTCGGACGTCGAGGCCGTACAGGCGGCCCTCGTTCAGAAGGCTGAGGAGGTGGAGAAGTTTTACGCCGACTGCCTCCAACCATTCGAGGAGGGCAAGGAGGCGTACCGGGAGCTTGAGTGGCAGGTGAGGAACTGCAAGACTTTGGCTGGTCGACCGATATACGGCGAGGGGGAGAGTGACGAAGCGTTGGATCATAACGTGAGTTCTCTATCATCTCGGCATCGAGTCAGTATTGACGGCCTTATTACTACAGCCAGCGGTGGCGAAAGAAGCCGATATATTCACTCCCCTTCCGGTACGCAAGTCTCATGCAAGTCATAACGAGGTAATGCTACTCTCTTTCCTCCTCGTGGCACTATTACTTACGCCGATCCACTCGCAGGACACACACACTCGGGACAGGACAGTCTCGCAGAGCTCGGCTAGCAGCACGAGTTCAATTTTCTCCGACGCGTGCTCCACCGCGTCGTCTGCCACTACCGTCTACCCCACGCCGCCCACGACTCCGACAAAGTCGTGGATGAAGAAGAACGACCAAGAGGCGGCGTGGCCTTAGACCAGGCCTTGGCTCATTGGGGCAATCTTACGGTTGGATTTCGGCAAGGAGAAGGAGCATTTGATTGGTCGTCTCTGACGACGCTGAGGGTACTGCTGCCCTATGGGATTGCTTGGACGATCCGAGCAGTCCCTTGAGCGCGTCTCACGGTGTGCCTACGCCACGGACATCGCAGGCGACCCCCGGACTTTGCATCCCTACGGTCGACCTTGGGTATACGGAGCGCCGCGCGGAGCCGTGCGCGTGCATAGTTCATGCTATGACGGGGAAGAGCCTCCTACGGGCACAGGCTTTTGCTGTGGCGGGGGAAGGTTGAGGTGGAGGAAGGTAGTCGGAACCAATTATCGGTTCGGTGGTTATGGGAGGAATGCGACTTACCATTTTATGAGATGGAGACAGGATGTTATCAGATTATCAACCTCACGTCGGTGTGGAAGGATTTCCAGGCCCTAATATGTCTTCTTTTGCAGTCTTTGTTTTAGTAGTAATTGTGTGCTCTCAATGATCCGGTTCTCTTCCCTTTCTTGTCTATATCTTCCGTAGTATCTCTTTTGCTAGTTCATTTCACGTTATGCATTATGTCTTGTTCGTATCCTGATCTCAGTGCGAATTGACTTTGAAGCGTCACTGGTCTGAGTCAGACTGTGTGACATACATCCGCCGTCCTCCGGTTCCTCCCATGTGAACAGTTTTGAGCCTGGTTGTCCCGACTCCGTCGTTCTCCATTATCTTTTGCACCGATGTCCCCGACGTCTAGAATTGTGGCCTCGCCTCCGAGGAGCCCCTGAGCTCCACTGTGGCAGTATACCGTGAGAAGAAAAGACCCCTTCCAGTCGAGATAGCACTTTTGTTGTACCCCGCTGCAGCGGCCCGGCAAACTTTCTACCTTTCTTATATTCCGGCTTGTTACCCCGCACTTGATTCTGTTTGTCTCCTTCTCGGTTTTTTTCTTGTTTCCTGGCTCGCCGCCACTAGTCCGTGGAGAATAAAAGAAGTGTGGCTGCAAGCGAGCAGGGGGTCACCAGGAGTTCTCGACTCCGGCTTAATGAGGAGTGATATACAGCCTTGGGTACAGGTGCGCGTCCTTCGTCCTGCAAGAACAGAAAGATTCTTGTGTACCACTGGCCACGTCCTGGTGACATTATTCATGACCGCCTCCCAGACCTTGTCGTGATGGTGGAGCTACTCACAAGTGTTGTGAGCGCCCGCCGTACAAGCAGACCTGCTTTGCAGGCTGCGAAGCTCGTACCTACGCTGCCAATCCCTATTCCCACTTCTCGTCGTGCGACTGGTCCGCCCAGTCGCTCGCCGACACGGAAGGATTTATCCTCTGATCTCCTATTCGACATGTCACCTCCCCAGTCTTCGGGCATTGTGCCTTCCCCACCGACCGCCAATGGCTCTCAAAAGGTCATAGGAAAACACGCATCTCCACGTCGGAGTCCTCTTGACGACTTCAATCTTGTCGACGTATCGCGGGCTCTGGATAAGGTACCAACACCGGAGGAGATGTTCCTGTATACATTGCCAACTTTGGCGAAGCCGTCGGCGAATATGCACAGTGCAAACCGCCAATCCCGCGTCAAATCTGCCTACTCTCCGCACCGTAGCTTTGACCGGCAGACAAAAGCTGCGAGGAGAGCTGGTTCTCATGCTCGCCATTCGCGCGCTGATGGCGGAATCAAGGACAACCCCAATCCGTCCTCATTTGATAGTCTTTCGGGGAGTGACCTTTCTCAATCCTATGGCTCTGAGGCGCCCAGACGATCACCGTCTGTTTCCCATGTCAAAATCACGGGATTCGTTACCCCGACCAAAAGCACGTTCACTCGTTATCCGCCTCAGAGACCATTATCGCTTGCACCGGTCTCTGCTGACAAGACCTGGGAACACGTGCGGTAGCGCTCCTCCCAGCAGCGTTGCAGGCGCTGCTGTGCACCCTGAACGAAAAGTAATTTTACGCCCCGCGCATCACGACGCAGTAATGACGACTGGATAACGTTGTAAGTAATTATGACCTTGATGTAAGGGTCTGAGCGCTGACAACTTGTTCATGCTCATGTCTAGCTACATGATTATACCCATGTTTTCACAGTGGAATTCGGAACACTTCACCTTTTCAAGCCATCGAGTGCCCTCCCTATGCATGTTCCTCCGACCTAGCCGGGATGTTATCCCAGCTTACGAAAAACACGCTCGATGGTATTCGTTCGTTGCATTGCATTTCATTCCCATCATTGTCATCATTCCTTTTGCAGTCCTCGCTTTCGATGTATCGGGTACATCATGTAGCGCTAAACTCTGTATTCTACTATCCACTTCTATCGACGGGTCTTTTGCCGGGAACATATCCGAGTGCGTGTTGAAATGTCTGGACCGAGGGAAATCACGAGTAACCTTTGAGTGAGGCCTTAATGAAATCAGGCACGACCTCTGCCAAGGACGACCTTTCGGCGCTCATGATCATGATCGGGCAGGCCCTCGAAAGCCCGAAAGGGCGAATGTCGATGCAAGTTCACTGGGATCTGCAAGCTGCGCTGCGGGCAGCTATCATCAACTAGGCGGTGTTATGATCTGTAGATACATTGTCGATCGTACGTGCTAAGTTGTACATATTGACTTCGGAGGCCTGATTTGGAAGAATGCGACCCATCGTATTCACGTTAGCGCAACGGCTCAGGCACACGTACGCGGGCTGGAGAGTTCAGTATTCAATATCAGTCGTTGATCTAGCCACCGCAACAACAGATATTGCTTACAGTTGTCTCCGTTGCACCGAAGTCACCTTGGAGGCTGTGACTGCCGACGATTTAGGCACGAAACGTGCTTGGAACTTCAATGCTACTGCACTGGGAACTGATCAAACCAGAGTATAGGTGACGTTCTGTGTGATGCAGAGGTCAATCTGCCCAATTATCCCATAATGACCTTTGGATGCCGCCGGCGCGCTGACGATCGTGTTTCTTGGGAATCAAGGAGGGAGTCAAGATACTTCCAACGTATAGACAGTGTGATTCATGGGGTCAATCTGACGGAATATCAAGGGTGAGGGGTGATTCTCTTATGATGCAGACATGAGGGCCTACATCGCCTGTGATTGATAGGCGGTTGACTACAGGAGACATTCATTGGACGTTCGAACCCGTGTTCACTGGCACAGTAGATGCTACGTAGCAATTCTGGGTTTAGGGTGAGTCAACTTTCCAGCATTCGCCTGGTCCTTGACTCAATGTAGGGCGGCTTACTTACCAGGTTAAGTTCAGCATTCGAGCTGAGTCATGCATTATCCTCATCATGATCATGAGGACTTGTGACCTCGCAAAGACATTTCACTTCGAGTCCGAAGCCTTCATTTGGGCCGACACCTGTAGAAAAAACCGACCTAACGCGGAAAACAGTATTTCACTTTGTTCCCGTCAAGAGCGGATTGGTGCTAAGGGACGCACGCCCGTAGTAGCTCTGGAGCAGAGAAGAAGAAATTGTTCCGAGAGTCTAGAGTCTAATATCCCGTCCCCGCGTCTGCTTGGCAATCGTGTTTATTCTTCGTTCGATGCCACAATTGATGTTACACAACAAGCGCATCCGTGACGTTGCCTTGCAAATTTGCGCAGTCTATTCATCATTGCGATGTGCTTCTATGTATGTAGCATTTCTAATGGAGTCTGAGACCTGGAGACGGTGTACACGTCTGCAAATGAGTCTGATAGCACCAGCGAAGGCATTGCCGTAGAGTATTGAAGAGCATTGATGTACTGAGTAGCGGAGACTTCGCATCCACAACACGCAACAAACACGGCCAAATATGGGTCCATTTGGACCAACATTCGAACCACGCGGTCACGTGGTTATACGCGCTGGACGACGCCACTCGCACCGAGGGTGGGCACACCTGAAGACTACTCAAGCTACTCAAGACTCGACTGACTATGGCCACCACTGGAACGCTACGAAGGCCAGCCTGGCAGACTGACGAATTGGAAGAAGAATGGATTGAGCCGGACGATCAAGAGGACGAGAAGACGACATCTAATGCCACGCGTTCCGTATCGTTGACGGTCCCTCTGGGCGGCTCTGTGGTTGTGCGCGAAGAGCAAGAAAAAGTGGAAAGGGATGTGGAAGGAGATGAACAGCTGAGTCAACCTGCTGGCACGTTCTTGATTCGGGAGGATGCTCCAGCGGGACCACTGCTGCCCAAGACGCCTGGTCGTAACGTGAAAAATGCGATTAAAGACTTCTTTACGCCTCTTCCACTGGAACAGATGTTCCAACCACCCTCACCACCGCCTGATGGAACGTCATCTCCTCACGATCCTGGTCCATCCGGTTCAGACCATCAGTCTCCGCACGATCACGTCCTCGGGGGCGAAAGCGACTCGGATTCGCCCGAACACGACGGACCAGTTGCAAGCCCCTCGAATCCCATGGAATGTCGGTTTACATTTACCATTCCTAATCATCATGTGCTGGCTTCTGGTACACCACAGGCGCAGAGTACGCCGGGCTTGCTAAGGTTCACTCGACGTGGCCCTCTCCCTTTCCCAGCGAATGATCCTCGCCTCCGGCTATTTCAGCTGCAGTATGATACCTTCACTCGGGATCATCTATCAGCGATGGTAGACTCCATTGCCGCCGGTTCTCCCTCAGGCAGCAGTGGCGAGCCTAGTCCTGCCGTGGGCCAATCATTCAGCCACTTCGCTGCACAGTTGTCTAGACTGTCAGAGAGGAGTTCGCCTTCCCGACTAAGGAGCATAAAACGCATCAAACTGAGTCCTCCCAGCGACTACGGGGACGGGGACGGGGACGGGGAAGGCGCCAATATCCGTCGGCCAACTCTCCGGAGGGACTATGTCAGTGAATCCAAGTCGTTAATGCAACAGATAAAGCAAGCGCGAGATTTTTCAACTATCTCGACTCGTCTGGAAGGCACACCACCGTGCAGTAAAGTTAGCGAAACTCCTAAAGATTCACCTCAAGCAGAGTCTGCTCTCAACCACGGTACGTGGCGCTCCTTGGGCAGACGATCCTATCGATTGAGATGTTTCTAGCCGCTCCTGCCCTACTACAGATACCTGCTAACGACAAGGAGGAGAAGTCGACAAGTAGCAGCAGCAACAATTCGAAGAAAGGGACGTATTCCTCCCTTGCTTACCGTCGGCAGGCCGCGGACCTCATGGCGCAGATTAGGAACGACATAAAGGGTCAAGGTCGCCTCTTTTCCGGTGAGACTATGGTCTCCCATGCCACAGGTGGTTCCCACTCAACAATGAAGCAATCTGTCTCTTCTCCGAAACGCGAACGAATGGGCTCGGTCAATTCATGTGTATTCAACAAAGAGAACGCGGCCGACATGGTTGAATATGGGCGGGTACGAAGTCCCGGCAAAGGCAACAGACTGAGAAACGCGGTCGATAGCCTGAAGTCGTCAAAGAGAAATAGCCCTCGCAAGCTACGCCGGATGGAGTCTGACAAGAGCCTCCGCGGCAAAGCTCCCTTCGAGGTCCCTGTTGTTGCCGTCTTTACAGCATCGGCCGAGCTAGAAGACGCGAACGCTGCTGCGGTATTCGTAGCATCACCTTCAGCGGCACCCTCTCAGGAAGCTGACGTTCCACCAGTTCACACCGGGTTCTTGGCACCCCCTGCACAATCAGGGAACTATCCTTCTGCTTCTCTTCGTGCACGGACGGGGGAAGATTTGAACCGTTTCGTATCGTCGAGCACGGCGTCTGGGACTACCTTGACCGCGGGGAGTACGGGATCGTATAGCAAACACCCCGGGCCAGCGCATATAACTCGCATTGGGCCAGAGGACATACCGCCTCTCCCGGAGAGAGTGGGCAAGATGGTGTTCGACAAGGTTATGATGAAGTGGGTGAAGGATACCGCCAAGGCTACAGGCGTCCTCGCTGATGAGACGAGGCCGATCTCTGAGACGAACAGCACGAGCGAAGATCCTTTCCGAGATATCGACAGCTTCAAGGACGAAGAAGGCACTTCCGACAGGCAGTCCCGTCGGTTGTCAGATCCCCTCCGCCGGGAAGCTGAGATGAGTCGGATCGAGGAGGTGGAAGAGTCGGAATCCGAGGACGAGGAGGAGAAGGAGTTGACATCCTTCTCGATAGGCGACCCTCCGTCTGGTGTCGTACAGGTGATGACAGGCGACATTGACAGCGAAGAGGACGAGGACGACTACTATGACGAACAGGCCGTGGAGTCCGAAGACCAGGACGACGACGAGGTGGATGAATTAGTGGAAATGTCGGCGTCCATGTCGATCGACGACGTCGGTCCACATTCCGGCCTGGTATCGCAAACTAATGCTCAGCCGTCTAGGCATCACGTCAGTCCACGGAGGAAAAGAGTCAGTCCTAGTCCTCAAGTCTTCAGTACCCCATTGCCTGCGCCTCGGTCAAGCATCGGTCTTGCGCCGACCCCGCTGCGGTCTGCAATGAAGAGCAAGAGCATGACGCCCAATAAGACGCCCGCCAATCCAACTCCTGGTCACCGCCGTTCTGTCAGTTTCTCCGATGGGAAACGGGAGGGGCAAATCAGAGGCCTGAACAAAAATACCGGAACGCTATCAGCGGGTGAAGGTGAAGGGTCCAGCAGGGTTTCTCCACGTACCAGGCGCATTGCAAATGCGATGGAGCAGCTTGAACGGTTTAGTGAGCGGGTATTCATGTCTGAGATTAATGTATCACTGAGGCTGTTCAAGGTTACGAGGAGGACTCTCCCTCGAAAACCAGTGGCTCCTCAAGACCGCCGACAGACGAGATACAGCCGTTGTCATTGCGGTCGTCGACTGCGGATGGCAAAGGCAATATCAGCAAGTCAAGCACTGACCGGCGGGTGTTTACACGCCCTCCGGGTATGAGGTCACCGAAGTCACTGTCCAAGAGTGTCAAGGCGAACGCGACGTTCCTGACGGAGTGTTCATTTGGCGTTGCCCATGATAGACTAGTTCAGGTCATCACGGACGTGCAGCCGTTCGAACCCTACTGGGAGGAGCTAAGCGTTATCGATCTCTCGAGGAAGAATCTGGACAGCGTAGCGCGACTGAAGGAATTCCTGCCGCGGCTGGATTCACTATGTCTGTGAGTACAGCATTGCGATGTGATCTGCAGACACCTGATGATGCGGCCCTGACCATCGCTCCCTCCCAGTAATACCAATCAGGTTTCATACCTGAGTGGCATCCCAAGCACGGTGAGATCTCTGTCGGTCGCATCAAACGCGTGCGTCTGTTTATGACAGCTGTGACATGATTTACCGTCTTCTGACCGGGTTGCTGCTTCTACAGCCTCACGAGCGTGGCTTCTTTCAATCATCTCCGCAATCTGGAGAACCTTGACATCAGCAATAACCAGTTGGACTCGTTACGTCGTGAGTAGCCCCGGGATCCTCGTTTTAATTTAGCAGCGCTAACAGCGAGTGGGAAAATATAGAACTCGAATGCCTCCGCCATCTAAGGGAGCTGCGAGCCGACGGCAACAAAGTAACGAGCGTCGACGGATTGCAGCAATTGGACGGGCTGGTCAAGCTGAGCCTCGAGGGTAACGCAATCCATGATATTGATCTGACAGAATGTCGCTGGTGGGTCAAGTTTCATATCCGCGGGCATTGGGTATCATTCGCTCACTCATGGAAACTATCAACGCGAGCAGGACACGGCTGGAGATGTTGCATCTAGCCAAGAATCGAATTGAGAACATCAACGGACTGGCGACTCTGCCATCATTGGTCCTGCTGAACCTTGGTATGTCTGTTTGTGCCTACCTGCTTCTTCACATGATGCTCGGAGGCTTTATGGCCGGAGCGGTTCTGGTTCTTGGAGATTGGATGACGTGATAATTGACCGGTGGTGATTGCTGCTTGACCCATGCTGACCGCGATTCTGTGGCACGCAGATAAGAACTGTTTGGGCGAGCTGGATGCCCACGGGGTGATGCCGCGGCTTCGCATCCTGCGCGTGAGCGGGAACCGGCTGGCGCAGCTGAATGCAGGCAGCTTTCCCAACCTGCGGACGCTGTACGCGGACGATAACCACCTGGGGAATCTCGTAAAGGCAAGCCGGCTGACGAAACTGGAAAACCTGAGCCTGCGGAACCAGCGCGGGCGCCTGCTGTGAGTGTGGTCTGCGTTTGTGTGCAGTCACATGTGGGATGCTGATGTGATGGGTGCAGGAACTTGAGCGTGAGGGATGTGCGGGACGTGAAGCGGCTGTATCTCTCAGGTACGCAGGCTCGGGCGCTGGGCAGTTCCGTTCATTTAGATAAGAGGATGTGCGTGCTGATGAGGGCCTCGGGCAGGAAATCCATTGAAGGCCGGGTTTATGGATGAACCGTGCTACAACCTAACGTACCTGGAGCTGGCTGGGTGCCGGCTGGCGGCGCTGCCTGCGAACCTGGCGAAGCTGGTGCCGAACCTGCGCAACCTGAACCTGAATTATAATTTCGTTGAGGATGTGCGACCGCTGCACGGGCTGAGCAGGCTGAAGAAGCTGACGATGGTGGGGTCGCGGCTGAAGACGACGAAAGAGCTGATCCGGGTGCTGCGCGGGATGCCCGAGGCAGAGGTGCTGGATTTTCGGTGGGTGGTGCCTGGCACACCTTTGTACGTGTATGGCTTACATGTATGCAGGATGAACCCATGTACACTGCCGTGGTACGTGCCTCTTCTGTACAAGAACAAGAGCGTACCTGGTGGGCCGGATGGGGAAGCGGGAGACGCCAGGGGTGAGAAAGGGTGGCAGGAGGTGGACGGGGAGTTTCGGCGGGGGCTGCCGGTGGAGGTCTATGCGCACCGGCTGGCGTACCGGGGGCATATCATGCGGGCGTGCCCGGGCCTGCGCTCGCTGGACGGGGTGGGCGTGACGGAGAAGGAGCGGGCCAAGGCGGGGGAGCTGCTGGCGACGATGGGACTGCGTAGCAGCGTAGGAGCGTAGGCGTAGGCGTAGGCGTAGGGCGTAGGCGTAGGCGTAGGCTGATTGTACTTGACTGCTGCATCTGTGCTGATCTGGAGTGTTAGCGTTGTGTGATGTTTCATCGAGATCAGCAGCCGGCGCGTCGCCGGGCGCCCGGCAGCGGAGCCGGAAAAGAAAGTCCGCGGGAGGATGGTGCCTGGCCCGGGGGCTAAATCGAGCGCAATATGGCCAAATGCGGGCAGAGGGCTGGAGGGATCGGGAGGGGAGGCGTGGGAATGCCCGAGGGAGCGGTAGAGCACGGGACGGAGCAGGAAAGGGAAGCGGGTCGGCGATGTCGATCTGTGGAGGTAATTGAGTGATAAATTGCAGTTCTCGGGGCACAGCATCGACTGGGACGCGGTTGGGTGTCATCGGTCGCGAATAGGCACAGAGGGCGGGAATGGAACGGCCCAAATCAGGAAGGCGTCTTGTCCCCCCCGCTTTCCCACCGCCCGCCCCTTTGCTTGTTAAATACCGCCCGCGCGCCTGCCACCAGCAGTCGCTCTCCGTTGTCGCCACCGACGGCCCCCCGATGATTGACCAGGCCCGCCCGCCCCAGCACGACGTCCTCGCCGAGTACCGCATCGCCCAGCTCCAGTTTGCCTGGTGAGTCCTCCATTCCGCACGCGCGCGCCGCTGTCAGCACCTGTCAGACGGGCCCTGCCTGGCGTGCGCCTTGCCATTTGCGCCGCTGACAGCTCGCTCGGCTGCACTGCATGCGCACGTCGATCGGCGCCCCCGTTTGCCACTTTCTGCTACTGTCTTCCATACGCACGCTCACCATTCGCCTTGTACAAAGCGCAAAGCCTGCCCGCGAGCACCTCTTCCACGACGACGAGCATACAATGTGCGTGGGCAAGCGCGCAATATTTTATTTGTCGCCAAAGCTGATTTTCATCCCAGCCCGGTGTCAGACTTTGACTACGACGCGCGACGCATGTCCAGCTCTGCCGCCTCTGCCGCCGAATCTGACGCTTCCCTTTCGGAGAAACGCTCTGCCACGCCCCACGACTCCCCCGACCCGAAGCGGCGTCGCCCGACCCTCGACATCGACGCCAACGCCGCCTGGTCCGCCCCAGACGACAAGTCCGCCGCAGACTCCGCCGCAGACCCCGCCCACCGCGTCCAGCTCCCCTCCATCTTCGACTCCTTCCACGACCCCTTCAACAACCGCGACGCCCTCCGCCGCCCGTCCCTCCCCGCCCTCCCCTCCGACCGCGCCCGCCACGCCTACGGCCCCGCCGCCCAGTCCCCCCGCCAGTCCGCCTCCGGCCTCGCCTCCTATCAGTTCCCCGCCCAGCCGCAGCACCACCACCATCACTCTGATGCGCTCGGCCTCCAACACGACCCCGCCGGTCCGCGTCCCAGGTTAGCTGCAGACACACAGCTCGCTCTTCCCACATCCCTCACAGAGAACTCTGCTTATTTAAATTCTGCCGCATCCAGCTCCGCCTCCTCCTCCTTTCTCTCCACCCCTTCTACCTTTGGCTCCCCCCTGTCCCCAGAGTGCGTAGCCCTCTTTGTCTTTTTTCCCGCCTTCTTATCTAATCCCCGCTCTTGCGCTCCATCAGGCCTGGCGCTCAGCCCGGGGCACACGGACTCAAATACGACGACAGCCTCCGTCACTCGTCGCTAGGCGGGCCTCTTGCCAGCGCGCAGATGTTCGGCGGGACCACTCGCATCTCCGGCCAGGACCGCCAGAGGGGCTACTCCAGCGGGGGCTCCCCTGACGGCGTCAAGTCGGAGCAGTGGAACTTTTCCGGCAACGACCTCGTCCTGCCCGCCTCGGGCTCCTCGTACAACGTCCCGGGATCACCGCAGTCCTCGACCGTCCCGTCCATCTCGGTCACCGCGTCCCCGTCGCGCTCCCCGCAGCAGGTGCCCCAGTCGTCGTCGCTCGTCGAGCGGCCCCCGCGCAAGCGAGGAAAGCTCCCCAAGCACGTTACAGATTTCTTAAAGGACTGGCTGCACAGGCACTCGGACCACCCGTATCCCAGCGAAGAGGAGAAGAAACAGCTGTGCCATGCCACCGGGCTGAGCATGAGCCAGGTGTCCAACTGGATGATCAACGTGAGTAGTCTTCTCTGTGTTTATTTCTGCGTGTACGAGGGGTAGGTCTTGCATCCGATGTACTAATTATTCGCATAGGCCCGCCGCAGAATTCTCGCCCCCGCACAGCGAGCAGCCTCCAACCCGTCCACCACAAGCCCGTATCCTGCATCTCGTCCCAGCACGTCCTCTGCTGCCATCCTCCAAAATGGACGGCGCGCCTCCATGCCCACGGATAGCCTGCAGCTGTACCACCCTCTCTCGCTGCAGTCCCTGCCCTCGCATCACTCTGCGCCGGACTATCTGACCTCGCGGCATATGATGGGCACGCCGCGCGCGTCCATCTCGGGTGCCTATGGCATGGACTACAGCGCGAGCCGGCTGGGGTACGTGCCGGGGCAGGGGTACCTCTCCTCGTCGTCGTCGGTCCCCCTGACGGCGCCGGCTGCCCTGGCATCGTCGCCGTTGTCACTGCACAGCGCCGGTACCTACCAGCAGCAACAGCAGCAGCAGCAGCAGGCGTTGTATGCGCAGCAGTCGCACCATCACTCCCACTCGGGCGCGGGGTATCTCACGAGCCCTCAAAATAGCGGCGGGAACGGTGGCGGCGGACGCGAGGGGGCGCGGTACTATTCGGATAGCAACTCGCAGAATGGGTCCGCGCCTGGCTCTGGGTATCCCACTCCTCAGTGATCGCCCTCTCTAGACTGTCTCAGTTCTCCTGTCTCTGTCACTCCCCCTCAATATTTCTTGACGCGACGTAACGACGAATCAAAAAATCCAGAACTGTATTTCTTGCTCACGGCCCCTTGACGAAAACGAAAGGACGGTCTCCCCTATACCATTTCCCCTGCTGTGCCCCCCCTGCCTCCCTGCGCAAGTAACCGTGTATACTGTACGTGATGACGGCCCAGGTCGCAGAGTGCTATGAATAACGCTGGCTGTACGTCATGGCATGTGACTGCCAGGGCGCTCGAGCATTACCACAACCCGCAACTGGACCCGGACGCGCCCCGGAAGTTCCGATTCCCGCGCCCCTTTCACAATCATGCATCAGTGGCCCCCATCATCGCCCTCCCGAATTGTGCTATATTATATTATATGTCGGAGCGTCGCGCCGAGCCGCACGCACCGTCTGTTTTCGAGAACTGCCTATTTTTACCTGTATATTTTCCGGCGGGCTGGCCGCCTGGCGAAATCTAATAATCAGACCTTTTCCGGACGCGGACTGATGCATCGGCCAGTCGCCCCGCCTTGGCCCCGGGCGCCTTCCTTTGTGGTTATCCAGAAGACCCGGCCATCCTGCCTTTTCGGACGCGGCGCCCGGCGTTTCCTGCCTGCGACGATTCATTCATTTCTCTTGTCTCTCTTTTCGATGGACTGCTGTTGTTCTTCTGACTGGGCTGTATGTTATTATATAGTATAGCGTACGCTACTTCCCCCGCCTAACGATACCTACGATGCATATATCCGTTATAGACCTTGCATTGTGTAATTTCTTGTCGGGTGCCCCTAGATATAACCGCGTTTGTGCGCGAGCACACTGGCGCTCCACGAGCTCGTGTTTCGCGAAGACGACGAGGAGGGCCTTCTCCCGGTGCAGTGCTTCGCTGATAATTAATGAATATCAAATGGCGACCGCGCGCGAGATTACGTTTGGGTGGGCGTCTGGGAGAACGAAGCGGATGCTGGGGCCACCCAGCCTAGCCGAGATCAAGAGGCGCGATGGGTGGTGGTGGTTGTCGTTGTTTCCTTTTTCCTGAGGGTGGGTTGCAGTGGTAGGTAGTGCGCACGGGGCACGAGCTGATGGTTACATCATCCGGTAGCGCGGGGGACAATGGCGATTGGCCAGAGCTTGAGCTTGATGAACCTTGATATCGTAGTACACTGGCAACGGGGCGAGCGGCGAACCGCTCGAGTCGCAGCTCTCTTCATGCCGCACTGCTCGATTCGAATCTGGGCGAGATCCCGGCGTGCTTTCGACTCGAGCCCTGCGAGCACAGGCTGCAGCGCTGGAGCCAGCACAGGGGTAGCGCGCACTTTAGGTTACATAGCCCGGCAGCCGCGATCGCGATGGCGTCAGCAGCGTTGGGGCGCGCTGGGTAAACCCTTCATCCATAATTAACGGGCGGGGCCCGGATCAAGGCCTTGTGCTTGTTTTTGTCTCGTGGTCCAGGAGAAGGGTAAGGTCAGACATGCAGTAGCTGAGACCGGGGGCCTGAGACGTAGTATTAGACAAGGAACTACAATGTCTACTTTTACACCGGTGTGGAAGAGGTATCTGATGCAGACGCGGGAGGGGAGGACGGGGGCCGTGCGTTCGAGCAGGGGTCGACCTTTCGGATATTGAGAGGCATCTGGCTCCCCATATGCGGCTCTGACTTGACGATGGGCCGGGTTACGACACTGAGATCTAGTCAGTAAACAGAAAGGGAGGTAGACTGCGGGACGGGGAGGGGGAAGTGGGACGGGATGGACCGCGAAAGGCGGCGAGAGCGAATACGCGCAGTGACCACACCGGGATCTATCCCGACTCGATGTCACTCAGGAGGACGTACTAGTGATGCGCGCTCGCGCAGAGTTGCTCGCGAAGCGTAACGTGGTGTGGCGCGACACGTTGTCCTGTTATGTGGCACAGCTGGTGCACCATACACACCAACCTTGCATGCATACGGCTCAACTTACTGTATTTCGTGGCATGTTTTGTGATAGGTAGGGCAAGTAAATAGGTATCATTGATTCTGGAACCTTTCCAGGCTCAATCCGAGGATATTTAAAGCTCTGTATCAACTTATAGCTGGCCCTTGGTCTTTGTGGGTCCCTCAGCCACCGGGAGTAGAATTTGTACATGTTTGTC